AAAAATATATATATTTTAGTTGAGGGGAAAGTGGGTCTAACTGCTCTCTGTGGCTGGAAACCTGCTGAAGTCTGGGTCAACATAAAAATCCTACTTTGCACAGACTCTGAGCTCAGCTCCAGGCAGCCTCATTGTTTTGATTAAAACCGATTAAACTAAAAACTACACTAAACTACACCTTACTTATAAAATACAAACACGTGTGTGGGGCTACAAATATCACAAATCGAATTACTTTCTCCGGCTCTCGTCGTCTCTCCATCTCTGCCAAACTCCATTCTATTTTCTCATCTTTTTATTTTGTTCTTCCTCTAGATTGTTTACCACTTGACGAATAACTTTGAGCCTTGGTCAGAAAGGAGGTCGGGGGATTTCTTGTGTTTTCATCTCAAGAGAAGGATGAGACTGACGGTGGATTGCAGTGTTTTTTCATGAAACTGTAGATGTTRCTTTCTGTTGCAACGTGCATCAAAAGCGACAATAATGTTCAGGAAAAAAGTGGCGTATACTGCTTATCATAACTCCACTTTTACAAGGCCTATCAACACAAATTAAAAACTGGTGTAAGGTTAATAAAAGTCTCGACTCTTAACCAAAATTGAAGCGGAGTCTCAGAGAGGAAGACATCAGAGTAGAGCGATAAAATAGGTCATGTGACTAGAATGCGTGGGCGCAACAGGACCCCAGAGCTTATTTTTTCTTCAGAAGAGCGAACGTGGAGTGTAAACATCTTGCTTTCCTCACAGCCGTCTCTTCACTGATCTCATGTGTCACTTCTGCAAAGCTAATAAACCTGTGCTCCAATCACCGTTCGTTTGGATGAGGGAGTGAAGAGGTGTGAAGCAGCGAAGGAGGACATATCTGTGGCGACCGGCAGGCTGAGAAGGGAAGTCGAGTCAAGTAGCGACTCATTCCCTCTCAAATCAAAGCAAAGCAGAGGGTCCTCCAATCAGAGCTGCATCAGAGAAAACAAGTTTGGACAAGTATCTGTGCAGTCTTCTTCCAGAACCCACTCAGGCTTTAAAGCTCAAGCTGTACTGAGAACAGCAACGTATTGTTTGGTTCTTAAGGTTTTTTCTGCTTTAATAGTTTTTCTTCTGAAGGACAAATACATTTTTTTATTAGACTTAAAGGAAATATGTTTTAAGTATTGATGTAAAAAATAATAGTAATTATAGGAAAGTAGATTTTATGATTGGATTTACATTGCCTTTTTTTAAATAGCTAAAACCTTCTGAATTGCAAGCATTTAAATTTTGCTTGCATGATTGTGTGTTGATTAAGTTACCACAGCTCTGCTTTGTTACCTCCGCCAATGGCGAGGTAATGTTTTCGGTCGCGCATGTCYTCTGTCTGTGGACAACATTACTCAAAAACTTGTGGACGGATTGTCATGACATTTACACCACATGTGGGTACTGGCACAACTAACACACCATTAAATTTTGATGATGTGCCGGATCACGATGCGGATAAAGGAATTTTTTTTCTTTTAATCCTCTGAGATCGGCAAAGCTGTGATGCTTTCACAAAAGGCTTCTGTAAAAAACAGTGAGAGCTTTCAGTGTTCATTTGAACTGGATTATACAGCACGGACTTCAAACTTTATAAAAGTAATGTTAAAACCAGATGTAATGATGAATAATTCTTGCCATAATGTGCACATTTTTACACATTTGGTGCGTATTTAGAGAACGTTTTGTGACCAGGAAGTGCGTGACTGCACCGTGAAACCTATTTTCCCCATTTCCTCAAACACACCACATTGTCCGTACGCTTGCAAACACATCGATGAAGATTTGAGGAAGAGGAGTGACGCGGTGGACTTCAGACTRGGAGCTTGTTTGTTTGTTTGTTTATTTTTATTATTTCAATGAGGCCAGATCAAGTCGAGAGCTCTTTGTGCGCCCCTCTYTCCACCTCTCGCCAAACTTTGGGGAAAAAGGAATGCGCAGAGCGTGGTTGTGACCGCTGTGTGTGGTCCTCACAAAGATAGGAAGATTGCCTTGGCGGAGGTTCACGCTCTTCGAGCGCTTCTAGTTTTGAGCATACATTTAATAAAAAATAACCCTAAATTGCAGCAAATTTGAACTTACCAGCCACTCCTCTGACCCTGGCTGCTCGTCAGAATCCTGCTGAGCACAATTCCAGTCCACAGAGCTCTCCTCTCCTGATGTGTACATCCTGCCCCCACTGCCCGGTGGCCTGCTGACAGATCTGGGATTTAAATAAAAAAAAACAATTCATGTGAAAGTCAATGAGAACATTTCTCAGTACTCTGATGTCAGACAAACATTTTAAACCTCTACAACCGCCTAAAAAAAAGAGTGAAATCCAAACACAACCCCCCACATTTGTAATGGTTGGAATAACAGAGCAGAAAAACAGCAAGCGTTTGCATGCGTGTCAGTTTCCGTGTGCATCCACCTCGAAGGACGCCTGCGGTGTTTTCTCCTCTCCCAGGATGACCAGCGCAACTTCTCTTTCTGCTCCAAAGCCAGGTGCCTCTGAGCAAAGATGTCATCACTGAGATCCTCAATCTGTTCTCAGCAAAGACATAAAAAAAGAATAAAGGTTTTTCTTTTCCACAAATGAAACTAAATCTTTTAATCCCAGCTGAATAAGACCTTACCTGGCATGCATCGCTATCCTTCACATTCCCTGCTTCCATCTCTGTCAGCTGCGTGTCAACTACCCGCCAACTGAAAGAGAGACAATGCTTTAGCTTATAAGCACAAAAAATAAAGGATTGAAAATACTTCCATGCAAGTATAAAAAAACCTAAATCAACACTTTTGACTGAACTCTGTGATTTGATTCATTGTAACAAACTCCTGCAGAACTTATGTTCCTCACCTGGGCGTCAGGATGTCTTTGTATTGCAGTTTTTCAGCTTTACAAAGCGACGCAGGGATGACAATGTTGTTGATATTGTACACGCTGTCTCCCTGACGTTTGTGGACAAAGCCCTAGAAGAAACCACGAAATACGATGGTGATGTATCTCCAAAATTCATTGTAAACTATAAAAAACATTACTGAACTGATTGAACATAAACAATAAAAGAAGAAACTATTTTTCCAGATATACAAAAAGAAAAAAACTAATTTCCGCATAGTCCATATTCACAGGATTAAAAACAGCTGAATGCTCAACAAACAGTTGTGTTTGAGTATTTTACCCGAGAGGCCTGGTTGTGTGTGATCTGCGTGTAGGTCTCCTCGAACARGTCATCTGAACTTTCTCCAGCATCACACAGCTGGTACGGTACCTCCTGATCATCTAGGCGTACGCACACATATACATGTTTACCAAACTGTCAGTGGAGGAGGCCGTATCCTAAAAGAACTGGTGATAAAACGTTAAACAGCGTGTCAAAAACTCATTTCTATAAACAGTCCACACCATCAGTCAGCCTGTGGATCCGTCCTCTCTTCCTTCTCCTCTGAWTGGATCGGTTGCGGGGAGTCCAGGCAGATCCTGATGATCTGATTGGTGACAGACTCATAACTCTTATTTTATGGTAACGTGCATGCTGCTTGTGTTTGTAACCTATAATGACACACAGACACAAAGTGGATTCAAGAAAAAGTCTAAATTCAATCTTCAGAATATTATTTTTTAATTTTTTTAAATTTTATAATCTCTTTAGCTACTATGAGAGAGAGTTGTGTTTCAGTGTGTCATGCATTCCTTTTTTAATTATTTTTACTAACAAGACGGTTTCTGCTACTGAAAAAATGAGAATAAGATCATTAACACTGAAACAAAATCAGCAGAGGGCTGTGCCTGTGCTATTTTTTTCAGTATTCAATCTGCTTCCATTGTGKATCTTCTCTCAGTTCTCTCATTAGTTTGGGTTTCATCCAAACGTTTCTTTTATGACTACACTGCAAAACAAATGTGTCAGCAGGTCCACTCAAAGTCTTACAACTACTGTTGCCACAGGAGTAAATCTCTGAGATAAATTTAGGACAAATATACACAAATGCATTTTAACTCAGCTGAAATGACAACTGGTTTTTGATTAATTTAGAACTGCTTTGCACCTACTTTAATGAAATTTGGGCTGAGCGATAGGAAAACCTGTGATGTGCGATAACAGTGCTTAATATCGTGATGCTGATATGACTTGCGATAAATGAACAAATACATACAGCAGGTAAAATAAGTATTGAACACGTCAACATTTTTCTCAGTAAATATATTACTAGAGGTGCTAATGACATGAAATTTTCACCAGATGTCGGTAAC